CAACAAAATAATCTACCAAATGGTGAGATTGTAATGTGAAATAACTGTTCTTGTTCTTGTGTATCTGTTTGCCTACCCTTTTGTCTCTGCTTCCAGCTTCATTAAGGTTGCCAGTGGCTTGGTTCACACATACCACTAAGCCACTGTTTGTTTAACAAACAACAATTATTATTATTATTATTATTTGTATGCCGTCCATCTGACTGGGTTGCCTCAGCCACTCTGGGTGGCTCCCAACAGAATATTAAAAACACAATAAAACATTTCAGATGTCTTCTAAAAGTCAAATAGTTGTTTATTTCCTTAGCAACCATTCCCAGTCACCAGTCGAGCATCCGTATTCTGGATTATTTGTAGTTTACAGGTCACTTTCAACGGTAGCCCCATGTAGAGTTCATTGCTGTAGTCCAAGTGGAAGATAACCAGAGCTTGTACCACTCTGGTGAGACAGTCTGTGGGCAGGTAGGGTCTCAGCCGGCATACCAATTGGATTTGGTAGACAGCTGCTCTGAACACAGAATTGACCACAGTCTATCACACAAAACCATGGCATGTTTCTCCAATGTTCATGTTGTTGTCCAGCTGCTCTTGACACATGCCTTTGTATTCTGGTGTCTTGGGAGATGTACCTGAAGTAAACCATGGTTAAAGAAGGGGGTTGGGTTCAAACCGTGCCTATTATTATTATTATTATTATTATTAATCACCATCATTATTATTTCGATTGTAAAAAGGCAAGGTGTTTAGACATTGTGGCAGCCATAACCTAGGTTTAAGGTGCTGTTTGACTATTAGGTTATATATCTGAGTTTCTAACACTGCTTCTTAGTCATAAGCTCACAGCACATGAGGAAATTGTGTCCTTCCACTTTAATAGGATCGTGGGGATAATAAAGTTGCGATTTATAGTTGTCATAAGGTCAGCAGGTTGCTCAGAGATGAATTGAAATTGACCCTGTTTCCTCATCTGTTTGAATTAATTTGCTGACCTGCTGGACTACTTAGCCTTTCCAAAGAACCACATTCACTTACAAATTTAGAACTTTTCAAGTTGCCATTAAATCCATTTTTGGGGGAAAGCCAAGATTGTCCTAGGTAAGTCTATGCTCAGCCAGCTTTCCATAGCATCGTTCAGCAATTCTATTTCCATATGAAAACCTAATGCTAGAGGCAGAAATTTCTGCAGCAGGTTTTTCAGTACTTTCTCCCATCTGTCTGACTATGAATAAGGGGAGGGGGGAGTGATGTAGATAGGATTGAGTAGGTAAAGTCTATTCCCCATCGGGATCAGAATGTGCGTCCCCTCCTGCATGTCTTTGTGGGAGAATGGGTCATTGAGAGCAGAGAGATGCATCTTGCTCCTTCCTTCCTGTCTCCATCAGCAGAACTCACACTCTGCTCTTCATCTGTTTCTCCATAAGAAGTTAGACTGCAAAAAGAATAGCTGGGGAATTGTTAACCAGCAGGGTTGACAAACTCACTTGCTTAACCCTCATAACAATGGACCTCCTCTGGCAATTTCACTTTGAACAAAGATGGCGCCATTCACTTTAAGGCTCACATTCCTGATACTAGGAGGGAAAGTGTAGGGTTGTTGTTGTTGTTGTTTTTTTAAAAAAATACCCCCGCACATGTCACATTTAATGCTATTCCATACAGCAAAGGCGCATGCACCCTTTTGGCTCCATGGGTAAAAATGGCTAGAGAGAAGTTCACACTCACCATCAATTATACTAGAACCCAGAGTCATACTGAATGTGGCAATATTTGTTTAGACAAAAGGAGGTACTTCTTCACACAGCACATAGTTAAACCAAGGAACTGACTGTCACAAAATGCATCAATGGTCACCAACTTGGAGGGCCTCAAAAGGGGTTGTAGACAACTTCATGCTAGCCACCATGGCTGTGTACCACCCCCGCTGCCTCTGAATACTAGTTGCTAGGAATCCCAGAATGCTAGACTAGATGGCCTTTGGTCTGATCCAGCATATCTTCCTTATGTTTATAATGGTTGTAGCTGCCTTGGGGCATGGGGAATCTTTCTCACATAAAGGCAAGGTGAATTTTTTTTTAAAAAAAGAAGGAAGTGAAATAAAACATTTTTTGAAATTTTTGGAACTGTCAAGATAGTAAGATTTTAAAATGGAGGAAATCGTTTTCACCATTACTTTCTGTGCTGGCATTTCCCCTTCATAGTTAGAAACCTAGCCTTTAGAACCTCCACCTTTTGTCGGTAATAAAACATTATACCCTTAACTTCTTTGTACTCTGAATTGGCAAAAAAAAGGGAAAAAAGGGGGGAAAGCAGCACATTCTGTAAGATGATAAAAGCTTTTTGAATTTGCTCCAACTGTCGTGCGAGAGATGGGCTGGGCAAAAGCTGCAAAACTGCTTATAAGGTCAGTTAACTTTCAGAATGTTGCAGCCCTAGACTGATGATCAGAAGCTTCAAATTCTATCACAGGGCTGAAGAGGAGATATTTTACTCGCTTCTGGAAAATGCTTTTTCAGACGGAGAAAAAAAAAATCAAAGCAAGTTTTCTCTTTGGGCTTCTGATTGAAAAAAAACGCTAGAAGGCCCAGCTGTGTATTAAAGTGTAACTTTAACAGCTGTCCTAAAATTGAGTTTGACAGCTGATTTGCTACAGGCTTGTCTGAGGCAGCAGGGTAGGCAAGCAGACAAGGAATAGTTTTCTATACTGTTTTTTTCCCTCCCTGAGGTCATTCAGAACAGATTGATAGGAGGAAAAGCAAGGATTGCATCTTGCACCAGTGATGCAAATGATGTGCATTGGGATGACGGTGGGAATAATAATAGTAAACAAAGCTCTTTTTATGGTGCTTGCTACATGTTTTAAAACCCCTTAGACAACCACCATAAACAAAGAGCAGCATAGATGGTGATCTGGTTTTTCTTCCTCTTGTAATGTCAGTTGCACTTCTCGGTTCTTATTTAATATATCAAGTGTCTCACAGTTTTGAGGCTTCACTGGTAGGAGAAAGCACAGCAGAACTGAGGCAGTGGAGGTCCAGTGAATACATATTGGTACAGAAGAGACATTTGAAGTGGCGGGATGGAGGGAAAATCACCTTGACATGTAGAAAGACCAGGGTTATTGCAGATCAATAATGGTTGAAGGCAGGAATGGAGGGAGGAAACAAAATGGCATAATGCTAGATGACCTCACATGGAAACAGAGTGAGAAAGTACTATGGTAAGATGAGATTAAATTGTAGTCAAATAAGAAGAGAGCCTAAAAGCGCAATCCTGTATGTATGTACTCAGCAACAAGTCCCTTTTGGGTTTCCATGGGGCTTACTTTGAGTTAAGCAAGTATAGGACTGCAGGCACACATGCGAGTCCTAGGAGTCTAGTGATGAAACTGAAAGGAAAAGGGAGTTCACAAGAATTCAAGGAAATTCATGATGCTCGAATCTGATCATGACATCCGAATGTATTTGTTGCAGCAGCGTCGTCTTAGAATGTTATGTATTCTGTGCTCCTTTTCATTTTAATTAAAATGTCAAGGAAGCATTAGCCTATTGATTGAAGGCTTTATGGTGCAATTCGTAGAGCTGGAAACCCCAAAGGTGCTTGAACACGTATGTGCAATGCCAAGGGGTGTCCAAGTGAAAAATTCCCCACATCACAGCGTGAAGGTTATCGTTATAAATGAAGAGAGGAGGCTGCAGGCTTAGGAAGAAGTATGCCGAAGCAGTGGCTAGTGGCTATTGCTGTTTGTTTAGTGAGTCTGTAGCTGGTACAGCTGTGCTACTTTGTGATGGATGGAGTTGTGTTTCTCGGATAATCACATATTTATTGCTGCATTTGCTTTTCTTCCACTAGTAAAAAATTATTCTGCATAAATGCCGAAACACTCAGTGATAAAAATGTTCAGGTCTGTTGGGAAGTACGTAATATGCTTAAGAGTTTCAAATGCCCCTTGTTTGCCAACCTGTATGCCTGATGATATAACAGTGCTGCAAGCAGCCATATCTGTTTCATCAAGCTTCAGTGTCTCCTGTGTTTAGCGAGTGCCTGGACTCTAAATGAGTTCATTGATTTCTAATATTTTGAGTTTAATCACCGCATGTAACTGACTTTGTACTTCTTGAAATGCTGGGGAGATGTTGCAGATGCCGTAAAATGGTGAGCATGGGTACCTGAAAAATGAGTCATAGTAGACCGAGCAACCATTATTAATGTAATACAGTGTGGTTAGAGTGTGGTGCTGATAATGCCAAGGTTGCAGGTTTGATCCCCACATGGGACAGCTGCCTATTCCTGTAATACTAGATAATCATCAGGGTCCCTTCCAAATCTACAATTCTAGGATTCTAATACACAAAGTTTAGAACAGGGGTTAGCAAATTTTTCCAGCAGGGGGCTGGTCCTCTGTCCCTCAGACCTTGTGGGGCCGGACTATATTTTGGAAAAAATAAATAAAATGAACGAATTCCTATGCCCCACAAATAACCCAGAGATGCATTTAAAATAAAAGGACACATTCTACTCATGTAAAAACACGCTGATTCCCGGACCGTACACGGGCCGGATTTAGATGGTGATTGGGCCGCATCCAGCCCCCGGGCCTTAGTTTGCCTACCCATGGTTTAGAACTTTTAAAGGCATGCCCTTTCAAATGGATAAGGAAATACAGTCATACTTCGGGTTGAAGTAGTTTCAGGTTGAGCATTTTCGGGTTGCGCTCCATGGCGACCCAGAAGTAACGGAACGCGTTATTTCCGGGTTTCGCCGCATGTGCAGACGCTCAAAATTATGTCATGCACAGAAGCGGTGAATCACGACGCGCAGACGCTCCGGAACAGATCCCATTCGCATCCAGAGGTACCACTGTAGACAGGTAACTAGTATAGATGTTGAATAGACTGGCAAATGTGTTCCTGTCTGGCCTAACTTGGCAGGTTTCTCTTAAAGGCTCTGGGTGGCCTGTGTTGGAAACAAGATTCTGGACTCCAGTGACCTTTGGTCTAGGAAAAGGCTGTAGTTCAGAGGTATAGCATCTGCTTCGCATGCAGAAGACTCCTGGTTCAATCTCTGGCATTTTAAGGTTGAGTTGGGAATGTTTCCTGCCAGAAACCTTGGAGAGTTGCTGCTGGTCAGTGTGGGCAGCCCTGAGCTAGATGGACCATGGTCTGACTCTGTCTAAGGCATCTTCCTATGTTGATCCAACATGACTTTTATGTTCTTAAGTGTCTGTAACAAATTCTCTTGAGCTCATTTTTCTCTGAAGAACTTCCTTCGTATTTTTGAAGGCGCCAGAGAAAAGAGGCTATCGGAAGCCATCATTTTCTTTGGAAAGTTAATTAAATTTAGGTGATTAGAATTCCATGCGGTGGGTGGCATTTGGAATCCTTAGCAAGATGACCTTCATCAAAGGACTCCAGGGCAGCGTACAGATTTGTGAACAAAATTTTTCACACAATGTACAACATAAAAACCCAACAAATAAGCCCAACAAAGGGACAGGCTGAAAATCTATAAAGAGGCAAAATTTGGACTATAATATCTAAAATGACATTGAGCATGCAGTGTTGTGGACACTGATTGTGCCACAAAAGCTTTGTAAATATGCCCACAAAAATGACTGGCATGCACAAATAAATAAATCATTGGCTCGTCATAAGTGGTTTGTAGCCTGCTTTTTTCTGAACACAGAAATGAATCAGGCTGGCATAGGAGGGTGAGAGCAATCCACCAGTCCTCTGCCAGCTTGCTTGCTGGCCTTCATGGAATTGGCTATGGCTACCAGGCAAGTTGTTAAATACAAGGCTGCTGTGCAAATAAATTAAGGTTAATTTTCTGAAACCGTTATTTCCCTAAAATGTGAATCTGTTCTTTTTTTCAAATAGCTCTGTTCCAAATCCAGCAGAGAATATAGCAAATCCCATTTCATACGTAGATGGAAATAAATTTGCTTGATCATAATGGCAGCATTAAAATTTGTTTCTGCATTGGAGTATATTATGTACGCCTATTCAGACTGATTTAAAAACATGCAAAGCAATGTTTGTGCATCTGGTCCAGATATAAATTAACAGATGCTACTGTAAGAGGCCTCAGGAAGCCAATATGGATTTTTTTTTTCTTTTTGGCAAGCAAAATTAAATGCTCATACTATAAGGAAGAGGATAAATGCAACTTAGAAGCTTCCATCAGGCTCTTGAAGAATTATTATTATGCTTGATCTAAAATTACCCAGTGTATCTTCCTTTTGATAGAAAGTGCTGCTTTAAAAATCTGTAATATGAAATTGTTCAAAGTGGAGATAGAATCATATATTAGCCTTTCAGTGAAATAATTTGAAACAATAGTTTCAAGTGCACTTTTTAATTTAAAATCTAAGCTGTGCAGTTTGATGCTATTTAAAATGAAATTGTTTTAATTCAGTAACTTGTCAAGCAAAGCCTTAGCTTTATTAGAGCTAAAAGCATAGAATGGGAAGTCGCTTTCTGCATTTATTCTGATGCAAATGTTCCAGGAATATTGGTGAAACTCATGGCAGCAGGTGGGAAAAGCTGTGCAACGAGTCAAATAAATGTGTTGGAGGAAAGGAAGGACAAGAGATTTTGTTTGAAAAGTTTTACATTCTAACATTTCACAAATGTGTAGAATTGTGCAGCTCTGCTCATTTTAACAGCTCTTCCAACACTTCACAGCTCAGAACACTCCTATGTTCGTAACATTTCAGTTCTTATACTGGTGACACCACACTTAGGCTCACACTCTCCTTGGATGCTGTTACATGTTGCTGAAGGCTTTCCTCATCTTGCTAAATACCGTTGTCATCTACTCTGTACAGTGGTACCTCTGGTTACGTACTTAATTCGTTCTGGAGGTCCGTTCTTAACCTGAAACTGTTCTTAACCTGAAGCACCACTTTAGCTAATGGGGCCTCCTGCTGCCGCCGCGCCGCTGGAGCACGATTTCTGTTCTCATCCTGAAGCAAAGTTCTTAACCTGAAGCACTATTTCTGGGTTAACGGAGTCTGTAACCTGAAGCGTATGTAACCTGAAGCGTCTGTAACCCGAGGCACCACTGTAGTAGCTTATCCTGCACCGATTTAAAAGTGGAAAGGGTTTGTGTGTGCACTTTCAGCTAGATATACTTGAAAAACAAACCAACACGGTATCTTAACACCTGGATGGGTCTTATGTCTGTAACAAAGGTATTGTCTTGTATCTTCTCACAGTGTTCTAAGTGTTTTACTTACAAATTGCTGTTATTGGAATACTTGCATGGCAACCCAATAGTGTACACTTCCCTTATAATATATAGGGTCAAATTCAGGGTTCTGCTGCGGTGAAGGTCCTGTTAGTGCAAGCATTGCAACTTTCCAGATGGAATGACACCCCCTTCTTTCCCCTGCCCCCGTTTTGGGGTTGGAGGAGGAGGAAGAGGAAGAGGAGGGAGGAAACCCTAACTCAGGACCTTCATAGAATCATAGACTCTCACTGACAAAACTTTTAAGGTGAATCCCACCTTTAGTGTACAGGGCAGAGAAATGGAGGCATTGACAATTGTTAAGATGCTACGTTAGCACTTCTGAAGAGGTACAGTGGTACCTCGGGTTACAAACACTTCAGGTTACATACGCTTCAGGTTACAGACTCCGCTAACCCAGAAATAGTACCTCGGGTTAAAAACTTTGCTTCAGGATGAGAACAGAAATCGCACGGCGGTTGCACGGCAGCACCCATTAGCTAAAGCGGTGCTTCAGGTTAAGAACAGTTTCAGGTTAAGAACGGACCTCCGGAATGAATTAAGTACATAACCAGAGGTACCACAGTATGTGCATAAATAAGTGTGCTTCTGAGGGATAGTCAACGAGCGAGAAAAAATAAGTACAACTTTGATTTTACTAGTGTCCATGCGTTTTCCCAGGTTGATGTTCATTACGTTACTAATTTTTTGAAAAAAGTAGTTCTGAAAGAGAAACTATCTATGGAAAAATATAGTAGTGGAATAGTTTCCATTTCAGAGTTTCTACCCCTTGTCACTGCCAATAACAGACCGATTTGTGACTGACCAATCTACCTTCTGGTTTTTGTTTTCCCAGTACACAGGGGAGCTGTCCTGCACCCAGAAAACAATGTTGATTTTCTTATTTCTTAAAAAAAGAAAGAAAGCATGCTTCACTTTTATAATTAATGACCAGTTAACAAGAATGTGCTGCATTTTTGTTGAAATAAACATCAACTTTAGAAATCCTAATCAGAATCAGAACTAAAAATAATAGCCCTAAAATGGTTGGTACGTTGCATTCAAGTTTTGGGGCACAGTTTGTGCATCCTGTCTTAAAAACAAACAAGCAAAAAGCCAGTGGAAGCAACAAAGCATTTTTCCAAATCGAGAGAAAATATTCTCCCAAGAAAATACAGTGGTGCCTCGCAAGACGAAAAGAATCCGTTCTGTGAGTCTCTTCGTCTAGCGGTTTTTTCGTCTTGCGAAGCAAGCCCATTGACGGATTAGCGCTATTAGCGCTATTAGCGGCTTTTAGCGGCTTTTAGCGGCTTATCAGCTTATCGGATAAGCAGATAAGCGGCTTAGCGGCTTAGAAAAAGGGGGGGGGGGAAGGAAAAAAAACTGCAGGAACTTGCAAGACATTTTCGTCTTGCGAAGCAAGCCCATAGGAGCTTCGTTTTGCGAAGCACCTCCAAAACGGAAAACTCTTTCGTCTAGCGAGTTTTCCGTCTTGCGAGGCATTCGTCTTGCGGGGCACCACTGTAAATGCAAAGCTTAAGGGTAATATGTACTATGTGAACAAGACTGTAGCTGCAATATTTAATGCACGTGAGGAAATTAATGAGATGATAGTTTCCTTATATAAGTTAATTTGTAATAGATGCACAAAACAGACTTGGACGACAAGAAAATTTATTAGGGAGAAACATGCAAGTGCAACATCTTATGTGAACGTTTTTCAGTGGACAATGTAATACAAAGATTTCCTGTGAGGCTCACATTTTAAATACACAAGAGGGGGATGGAGGAGGAGGAGATGAAAATGAGACACTAGCATTCTTTAGGCACCTGGAAATTTGTACTTTCTCAAGCTTCTTTGGGCTTGCTTTCCATTTGTCATCCATGCTACTAGTCCAGAATAGACCAATGGCTAGTAACAGACAGAAGGCCTAAGGCTGTCTTCCACGCAGTTGCAAATGTGTATTCGACTTTTAAATTTTTCAGCCAGTGCCATGTCCCACACCTTTGTCCACCATCCTTGCAATGAAAATCGAATGTTATATTGCCAGTGCTTGGATACTTCTAAATGTGAAACGGCTAGCAGGAAAGCTATTATGTATGTGTATACAACTTTCTCCATAGGATATACTTAATTAAGTACTTAATTCGTTCCGGAGGTCCATTCTTAACCTGAAACTGTTCTTAACCTGAAGCACCACTTTAGCTAATGGGGCCTCCTGCTGCTGCCACACCACCGGAGCACGATATCTGTTCTCATCCTGAAGCAAAGTTTTTGACCCGAGGTACTATTTCTGGGTTAGCGGAGTCTGTAACCTGAAGCTTATGTAACCCGAGGTACCACTGTATTGACAATAAACCAGTATTAGTTGCTGGACTATCAATGAGATCAATTTAGCAGAATGCATTAAACACTGGGCAGGCCCACCACATATAGTAAATTTCATTTCATATTGTATCCCCTCCAACAGGTATATGGCAAGTTGTTATTGATTTAATGTAGCTTTACCAACATGAAATACCACCGGTAAACAATTTCCAGCATAGTCTCTTGGATACAAGCAGAGGTGGTTTTGACCACACCAGCCTCCATTGGGTACCATCAATGTGCACAGACAGGTCCCCTTCTCCTTGGTCTCTCCACCCCAAAAGATTTTGTTGTACTTCTGCAAACCTCAGATTTCTTCCAAGCATGCTAATATCTCCCTCTTGATGCTGCTCTTTTGGCTTCATAACGGTCCATGCTCTGAGAATGCATTTGCAATTAGTTTATAGGTTTTGAAACCAAGTTTTGAAGGTTCACAGTGAACAGCAGCCAGATAGCTTGCAGCAGTGTTATGTTTGCA